TTATATATATATATATATATAAAGTATAAAGACAGACATAAATGCACACATTCAGCGACACAAAGGAGCTCTTTTAAGCTGGGCACCGTTTCATTCACAACACCTGTCCCATCAACCAGCAATCAGAGTCAGGAATACTTTAATAATCCCAGGGCAAAATTATTTTTGTTACATTTTGTTACTTCACAGGGTTACTTTCGTTACACTACTCCACAGAGTGACTATAAGACCAGTTTGATATAACACAATTGCATAGAATATATATAATTAGGGGGTCCCCGCTCCATCTCGCCATCAGTTTGGGGGTCCTTGGCCTTGAAAGGTTGAAGACCCCTGCTCTTGAAAAATGATTTATATCTGGTAGATAACCCAGCAAAGAGGGGCATCCTCAGAGAAAAGGTCTATGGAGGACCAGGGCTGTGTTAAACTGCATTTCTTATTGTTTTCATAAAATAAAATAAAAATACCTTTTGAAAAACCAGAAATACAATTTGTAAAACCTTTTGGCGAGTTCACATTTCAAATTGAAATTTTAAAGAGAAGTTTTAAATAGTATTTTTTTTTTATCCATTATTAAATATTGCAATAAAAAATGTATCTTCTATTACCGTATGGGGTTCCATTTGCGTCAAACATAAGTAGCTGTAATATGTATAAATGTTTTTGGTTTATGTTGTTTCTATGTGTAGATGTCTATATTGCAGACATAGATGTTGGTCTTGTAGATTTTGCACATGTTCAATTTGCATACGCGTATATCTCTTGCAGCTATTGTGGGTGTTACTCACTGTCATCTGGATATAATTAGCCTCCTCCTCCTTTCAGTTGTTTTACAATGCTGTTGGTTAATGACATCGCTCTCTGTTGTTGGTCCACGCTGTTGGTATTTAATGTTGGTCTGTGCTCTTGTTATCCATTTCCTCATCGTTAAAAACTGTTGTAGTAGGCATTGTCTCAATTAAGTGCTCATTAGACATTATAAAAACCTCGGTCTACATCAATATCAATGGTTTCAAATTATTTAGATTTCGATAAACGTTGCATTTATTTCAGGCATTAATTAGGGTGGCAAAGAAGGGAGCCTGGTGCAAGTAGCATCCGAATAATAGTGAGGCCTAGGTTTTAGACATTTTAAAGCCTTAAACCTTTCAAATAACAATGATGGATCCCACCTATACTGTGCAAATGTGTGTGCGCTCGCATTGGCAGGACTCAAAGGGCTTAACTTTACATAGTGTCTGGAGCACCAATATTTCTTTGTTGTTTTCTTTACATTTCCAGATTATTTGAATATGATATAAAACAACAAAAAAAGCGTAGTGTCTCATTAGACACCACAATTTAATTACATGTGTAGAAAACATGCATAGGAACATTCAAAACTTGAATAAATGTATTACCCTTCTACGAAAAACAAAACAAAAACAAAATAGAGAAACAAGTAATAACAGTTACTGGTCTGTTTAGTGATGTTTTTTTCATTTATTTTCTTATTTCAGACTCAGAAATACTCGACACATAGTTTACCAGAAGGAGGCAGCGTGCCGAATGCAGCTCTCTGTGAGTTACACAGACCTAAGTCTCAAAATCTAAATTTTTGTTGCCCAACATTTTTTCCTTACATTCTTTCTGTTCTTTTTTTTAAAGGGGCCGTACCAATAACAATTATTGTTTTCATCATGCTGGCTGCTGCAATATGCGCTTTGAAAATGAAGAAAAAAAGAGGTTTGTGTAAAAGCATGCTTAAGTTTCATGCAGTTTGATTCTTTTTACAGCCATTATCCAACCTTTGGTGTAGTACTGCGTTGATATGTGTCCACTAATCTCAGGTAAATTGGTTGAGATCACTTAAACTAATGCTAACTCTAGAAACAGGATACTGTCAGCCTTATAATGGCAAAGTTTGTTGTTGTTGTTCTAATTTTGATATGTGTCTGGGATCATTGTTATGTTGGAGCATTCAATTGTGCTTGTGTTTCAGTGATGTCACCCAAACTGTTAACCTCAGCTAAAAGAGCTCTGTGTAGGATGGTAAATGATCGTGTTTTACGTGACTGAACATTTCAGCTTCAAAGCGTGGGAAACTATGTGCCTGGTAAAAGGAAGATGGTGATTTTCGGCAGAAACCATAATCTTTTAACTGCGATCAATGAATTTGCATTCGGCCTATTAATTCCAACCTTACGCAAATCTGGACTTTTATGAGCCAGCCAGATATTGTAACTATTAAAGCCCATTGTTTCAACTGCTGTGGTTCATAGTTTTACAAATTGACTTACAAATCGGCACCAATTTGCACCATCCATCCATCCATCCATCCATCCATCCATCCATCCATCCATCCATCCATCCATCCATCCATCCATCCATCCATCCATCCATCCATCCATCNCATCCATCCATCCATCCATCCATCCATCCATCCATCCATCCATCCATCCATCCATCCATCCATCCATCCATCCATCCATCCATCCATGTATGTCACAGTTCTATGATTTTTTTATATGGTTCTCTTTGCAGCTACGATTCATTTCCCATATAACACTTAAAAGAGCCACACTGATTACGCTGGTGTAGAAGATCAGTGTGTTTGCAAGTAAACTTTTACACTTTTGCTGAAAGCTATTGTCGTTTTAAAAAAATATTATGTTAGGACTGTAAATATACAGTCATATGTTTATATTACTATTTTTTATGTAGTATTTATAACTGTTTTCAAGGCTGCACTTTAAAAAATTAAATAATCTAGAGCTGTTTTAAACAAAATTACAAAATCAATCTGTCTAAGTCTTCTAGAATTGTGGTGCATACCTTTGCAGCACATTGGATTAGCTCTACTGGCTTGATTCTGATGTTCTTTATTTCCTGTTTGTGGATCAGATGTTCTAATTTTCCAGAGTTTCTGCTGTCTGATGTTGGATGCTTTGCCTCTGGAATGATTTTTGCTGGTTTCTTTTTCTTCTCTCAAATCTGAAATAATTATTCAACTACTTCTATAAGAACCAGCTGAGCTGGAAAGGAGTGGCCATGGGATGATTAAAGGCTTTTAAACCTAAGAGTACTATAACAGGCCTTAAGCAAGGTGGTAGCAGCATAATGCTGATGGGTTTTTTTTTGTTGCTAGTGGTACTGTTGTATTAAAGAAAGGAAATTAAACAATTTATTTATCATTAGGATTAGTGTTCAACTTTACCTAATTTCAACAGTTTGCTTGTTGAAACCTGGGATAGAAATTAGGACTTTTGTGAGCCACATCACCAGCCAGTCCCTACAAGGTAGTAATCCCAACAAAAAAACATAGAAATTGGGCTTAGATTGGTTGAAGCAGGGTGACATTAAGCTTTCTGAAAGGATTGTCAAATTTTTTGGATCCATTAACATCCTACTCTCATAATTCTGGCTGGATATTTCATCCATAATTGTGAGGGAAATAGCATATTTTCAAATTTGAAAATCTACAAACTTCAGTGCTAGGACAAGCAATTTAACCAGGTTGCTTTTACTAGAATACAGTTCACAGATTTAAAATGAGAAAATCTGCTATTTTTCCCAAAAATATGGATGAAATATCCAACAACAATTATGATAATAGGTTGTTCATATGCTGTACCACTTGTCTGCTCTAAAAAAAAAAAGAAAGATTTAAACTCAATTTAAAGCCTGAAAATAATGCAACAGGCACAACCACGATGAGGGGATGTAAACTTCTGCTCAGAGATGAGATTTGTTTTATCAGTTGTTAGAAAAATAACCATGTTTCTCACTGTTTTCTACAGGTCTGTGCAAAAGTGTGTTTTATCGTCGAAGGATGTCGTATAAAAATGAAGGATTTTCCCCGATCTCCTCATCTGGTACCAACACAGAGGCACTGGAAGACATTCTGAGTGAGTGAAATGCTGTTAAAAGCTGTAAAGAATCCAATATACCGTAAAAGAAAATAAGTAATAAATTATGCTTTTTTTTTTTTTAGATTCTCAAATCCTATCAGCACCTTTACATGCAGTTCTGGATGATCTTGATGTTTTGGAGGAGTTGGTGATTCTGTTGGACCCAGACACTCAAGGTATAAAGAGCACAAAGCACCTGGCGTCCCACTGCTCCTTTCCTTCCACCTGGATCACTTATACATACTCCATGAAGGACAGCAAAAGCCCCCTGAAAGCTGTGCTTGAGGCAGTCACCAGCAAGCAGCCCGACTGGACTGTGGGCCACCTGGCCAACCTGCTCAGGCAAATGGGCCGCAATGATGCTATCACCGTTCTTGCAAAACTCAGACCTGGTTCAAATGTTGGATATATTTGAAACTTTTTCTCCCACATCTAACAGTTTGATTTTTTTAATCCAAACTGGATATGATGTTTCTATCGGTCCTTTGCCCATTGCCTGGAAACTTCACTAAAGTAGTTTCTAGTTCAATCTGAAAAACAATTAGGATAAATTTATTGATAAAATTACTTTTGACTTTGGCGCTCAGACCTCAGCAGGAAACATAGCGCTTAATTTTGATAGATATGCATGAACAGGAGCAAAGGCCTGAAACTGGTGGTGGAGTGGACATGGATGAAGTTGGTCAGTCTGTAGACTGCTGGTTAGCGAGACGGTCTGCTGAGCTTTATGGGGAGATCCAGGGGACTGCGTGAGCTGATACTAGAGCTTCACTCAGGGACCTGGAAGATGGAAGTCCAGTTGGATCACACAGGTTGGAAGAACCTGTGAGCAAGCATGAAGCGACAGTGGAGAGGAAAAACTCCCCGTTGGGGAAAAACCTCTGGCAGGCTCAACATGGCGGTCTTCTGCCAGACCAGTTGAGATGAGACAGGGAAGGCAGTAAGAGTCCAGGAGGAATGACACTGATGCTTTAGCTATGAAGGTGGAGGAGGGGGTGGGTTGAAACGGTGTCATCTTAAGGAAGTCACAGCGCATCCGCCACCTGCACACAGGAGCGAAGGAGTGTGGATCGGAGGCCTTTTAACATGAACTGTGGATTCCGATTGACTTTTGTGGAGGTGTGGTTCAAAGATGATTGACTGTGTCGCAGGTGGATGTAGAAGGGCAATGAGTTTCTTCAGTTAAACTTCCGCCTAGGCTCCATAAGAACTGACTCCTGTCATTTCTACCACCTGGTTCAACATATGGCCTTATGAAAAGTTATTTTTTCAGATGCAGCACCAGACTATATACTAAGGAAGGTAGCTGGGTCTTTTCTACCAGCATGTACAAGGCTGATGTTAGCTTTAAAATTCCACGTGATCCTATGCTGACAAGAATTATTTCCGTACCAAGGAAATTCATTGGAAACCTTGGAAAATCCTTTTTTTATTCAAGCTCATGAAGAAAATCCCACCTATATATAAAAAAAGGATAAAAATATGCAAAGTAAGCAGGATGGTTATGGAAGTAAAACAAAAATAAGAATCACCTTTTGAGGAATTGGTGCTGAGCGAGGTGCGTTAAGGAAAGTTTGCAAATGTCAGCCAGTCATGATTTTTTTTCCTTCTATCACATTCGTGTTTAATTTAGTAGAAACTACAACATCAAATACTTTAGATGGGTCTGACATGAAGGAAAGAAAAAAAAAAAGCAACTTGCCCCTCCAGTCAAGTATGGAGCATGGATCATGAAGACATGTCACCAGATTCTAGCTAATAAATGCATTTTTTTTTTGTTCTTCACTCAGTTACTCAGATCTGTACCTGAACGGATTTTTTAATAATAAAAATGATTAAAATGATATTTTAGGGCTTTTTTTAAAAAGATCTTTATCAAATTGCTAAACCTTTTTGGAATATTACTGACATTTTTTTTTGGCTTTTGTTTTTGTGGTTTTATTTACTGCCTGCAGTCATACATGATAAACTGATACATTTTAAAACCTGATGTATATAATTTAGTTACGTTTGCAATGTCATTGTGTCTGCGAAAATAAACAAAAACATGTTCAAACATCTTAACATCTTTATTAAGCAAGTAACATTATAAATAAAAAAAGTGCATAGAAAATTAAACAGGTTTAGAAATGTATATACAAGTATTTACAAACTCAGGGTTTATTTTTACATGGTAACAAAGACGTAAATTTAAAGAGCACATTTTCTCATTTCTATGTCTTTTACACTCTAAAATAACCGTATTTTTTAGATTTCTCATATATATTTATATTTATATATAGGTATGTATATATAACATACAGCTTTAACAGATCCTGGGAGAGATGGTCATAACCTTTGCTTTTAAATAGGGCTTCCACAGCCTTCTTTCCATGCACACAGAATTAAAGAAAAACACACACACACATATATATATATATATATATATATATACACGTACATACAAACACACACACACACACGTACATACAAGAATATTAAAAACAAGCTTTTTACTAATTTTTTAATCAAAGTCTCTTTTTGCATCAGTAATCCCAAACATCTGTTTAATCAGCTGAGGTAGAAATCCTTGCAAGTTAGGACCGACTCTGCCCTGCTAACCTGGGCTCTATCCCAGCACAAGTCATGCAAATGAGAAAATGGGTTAAAACATGATGTCGATTTGCTCTATTGAGTCTTTAAAACGGAAAGGAGATGGATGAAAGCAAAATATACAGTGGGTATTAGTAGGCGAAAAGTGCTCACTTTTAACTCCTGTGGCTGATTCTTTGCTAGACAGTCTTCTACAATAAAAAAATATCAATAAAAAGGCTTCTTTAAAAAAAAAAAAAAATTATAACAGTCATAAAAGGCTTAAATGTATGACAACGGCCTGAAATGGAAATTCAAGTAAACAACCAAAAACGAAGGACATCACCTGTAAACAAAAGAAAGATGCAAAAGAGGGGAAATGCTGTACATTAGACCACCACCGCATTATAAACAGCAAAACCTTTTACCGTTAAAAACACAAATCCAAACGTGAATAAATACGATTAACAAGCCGAACTGCGGGATTTCAATCTACCCTCGTCATCAACAGCGCTAAACATCAACTTACAACGTTTTGCTTTTTCTCCAAAAGGTGCACAACGCCCCTCTCAGCTCTGCGCCGAACACAAGCGCTCAGTAGCAACGCTTTAAGCCCCATTACTCTCCCTGACTTCTAGTCTTTAGCAGGTCTCCGAAACATGAAGGTAATGCTCTGGTGGTTATGTTTATTGGTGTGAAACTGCTGACCCGCCAAGTTTTATTGCATTAGGAAGAAGAAAAAAATTAGCATCAGGCTAGAAAACAAAAAATGTACTTAAAAAAAAAATCTCTCCCCTATACAAATCTTCACTTTTGGCTTTGGGTAGTGTTTGCTACATATGCAGAGCACATACGATGTCTAACAAGACACGCTTCTGTTTTTATAACTATGACACTACAGTACCAGCACGTTACAACATCCAATTTAGAACTGGGAGCAGATAAAAAAAAAAAAAAAAAAAACAGCAGAGGCTTGATGCTAAATTGGAGAATCTTGGCACACCAGTGATTTTAGAAGAAATGCTTGAGTGCATAAGTTTATCATCAGGGAGGATTATATACAGCTAAACGATTCCTGATTCTCAATACGTTTTAGTCCAACTAAAAGAAAAAAAAAAAGCTTTCAAAGCTTTAGCACCATGGTTGTTAAGTTATAAACAAAATTTACATCTAAGAAAATAAAGAGAGCTGTTGATTGTAAGCAAATTCAAACACAAAAAATACGGGATTGGGTGAATGTATGGCTCAAAAACAGACATCACCACTGCACAGATGGAGCTATAACCAACCCGCCACCAAAGTAAAACTAAAATGGAGTATTTCTGAACAAATCACTACAGAAGGACGAATCCTGGCTCCAACCAAAAAGAATAAACTCTACAAGGAACCAAACTTTAGCTTCAGCAATGCTTTAAACACATAAGGCTCAGTGAATGTTGGCATCCTCCATTTAAAGTAGAGGAAGTCCTCTCTTGTCTGCTTCAATGCCGAGTTATAAATATTCAAAACCACATCCTTGCTTACTGTTGATGGAGCTGAATGTGTCAACAAAAAAAAAAAACAAGTAAAACTACGCAGAGGAAATTTGAAACAGGAAACTTTCCAAATAGTCAAATTTCCCTCATTTTCTGACCAGCTGCGCATTTCCGGTCAGTCTCATAGTGGTTATCTCCATGCGAGGCTGTGGAGGTAATCTCTCGTCATCTTCGTATTAAGGCTTACTAGTTACCCAGGATCTACCACAGAGTCATCAGTTGAGGAAGCGGCGGCATCGCCGGGCCCCGCAGTTGCAGTTGAGCTTGTTGCTGGCATCTTCGATGGGGAACTTGTAGTCGTAGGTGAGTTCCTCGCCCCGGTAGATTTTTCTTAGTGCGAAGATGACAATATGTTTTCGGCCTTCCACGTTGATCACGCGCGAGTAACAGTTTGGTTCGCAGGAGTGGTTGATGAACCTGGCTGCGTTGCCATGCATGGTGGCGTCCACCACGTCGAAGTCGTCGATGCGGAACATGTAGCAGCCGATACCCTGAGAGCAAGGATATAATCGGCACATTAGGCTGCACGTATGGACTGTACAGACTGACAGCGCTCACAGTCTGCTTACCTTGCCGTCATAGTACTTTTCTCTTTTGTCTGTGAGTACTGAGCGGATGACGATGCCAGCATACTCAATGACCATCTCCCCAGCTTCAATGTTCCTTTTGCAGAAGAGGCCGCGTCCATGAATCGCTGACCTACATTGACATAGTCGACCAGACCAGAGAAAAATAAAAAATATGATAATTAGATTGCATTCTGCAGGAAAATGCATCTGTTTGTTGGATAAACAGTCATTCTCGTATCAATAACTTGATGTCCTTCTGCTGAAGATTTTTCCACAACCCAGAAAATTATGACAACATGACCTTAAGCCAAAAATAAAAAAAGTTACTCTGAGAAGGCTGACTAAACTGCATGACTGCATGAAATATGACATTACATTCCATTTCAAAGCTTCTCATTTCCTGAGTCTAGTTTCTAGAGCCGTTAAGCAATGCACCCATCATCAATCAGATTAGCTACTCAGTAAAATCTCCTGTTTGAGGAATG